ACCCAGCACGCACACAGATGTTTGCTGGGCTTGGTAGGGAGAGGGAGGCTGCAGGGATGAGACCTCAGCTCTTCTGCTCCAGGCTAAACCCGTCCTGGGCTGCCCCGGAGCCTGCAGGTTGGGGTACAGATGGAAAAGGGCTGCCCCCCACCTTTCCCAGGGCACGGGAAGGAGCCCGATGGTGAAGACCACAAACAAGGCAGCAGAGGAAGCAGCGTCGGTACTTCCCACAGCCCACACACGCACCAGGGTCACGCTGCAGCTGAACCACGTGGAGGCACAAAAGGGCTTGTGGACACTCCAAACTCTCACACCTCCGCTTGAAACACTGCACTTTGCTCTTACCTGCTCATACAGAAGAAGCCCTTCCTCCTTCCCCAGTCTACCCAGCATCAGAAAAGATCTCCTAAGCCTTCAAACTGGAAGAAATCCCCCTTGCCCATCCAAAGCTTTCTCCTCCCCTAACATTGTTTTCATTTCCCCCTCCCCCCCTTTTTTATTCTCAATAAAAACATAATTACAGGCTTTTAAAAAAAGCAAATTATAGTGACATACTTTAATTATCTCCAAGCAATGGAGGACTAAATTACACAGTCAGGGAATCGGAGGTTACCTAAAAATAAAAGCAAGAAGCTTCATTAAATGCTAATTGCAGCTTTCACTGCTGAAGTGAGATTTCAACACAATCTGCCATTGACTCGCTCGGCCATAGAAGAGAACGTTGGTGTTGGGGAGAGACCCCTCACATACACACACCTCCGTTCGTGGCAGTGGGCTCCAGCCACAGGACTCTGCTCTGCCTCTGGTCCTTCCCCAGCCACAGGGCTGGGGGCTTCCACCTCCCTCTGAGGCATCCACTGCCCCCCCAGGACCACTCAGAGACATCATCTGTCTTCTCAGCAGCACCCACGTGCTCATCATAGCTCTCCATCCTCCTTGCTGACTTCCCCCAGTACAGGAAAATTGAATTTGAGGTCTCCATTGTCATCTTCAAAGGTCCCAGTATTCCAACAAGGACCTGGTGCTCCAGGCCAAAGGATTTGGCCAGCAGCAGTTCTCGGTGGGAGAAATGCTTCCTATCACAGAAATTAACTCAACTTGCTGCTCATTGCGGAGCTGGTCCCCCACCGCTTAATGAACTGCAACATCTGTCACAGGCTTTGCTGCCTTCTGCTCTAAACGCACATCCCACCTTGCTTGGAGCAGTGCTCGGATCTCCTGGGTCCAAACCAGGACTCTGTGGGAGAGGAGCTGCATGGAGACCTGTCTGGGAGCAAGGAACAAGCCACTTTATACCCCAGCCCTGCTCTTCCCATCCCCTTCCTCCAGATTTCCCAAAAAAGGAGCTTTGCCATGGCTTCAACAGGATGTCTCCACACCCAGGTGGAGGGGGAGCAATTCCTCCCAAGCCAGGAGCAAAGGACAAGGTGGCGGGCAGATGGAGAAATTCGCAGAAAAATTATTTTGGTTTTCCATTTCCTATCGAGTTGGCCTAATTGTGCCACTAAAGTCTGTAATTTGCCTCTCACAGAAGAGAGCTAATGACAGGTTCCACGCTGCTGCCGATCTGCGCAGGGCTGGGGAGACGAGCACACACACAGCCTCCTGCTGGGCCACGGAAAGGAGAGCAGGACCCCAAAAAGTTCCTGCTTGTCCCTGGAGAAGGGAGCTCAGGAGAAGAACTCAGGACTGGGAACAACAGCCAAGGCCAACGGAGAGTTCAACAGGGGGGAGACACGAGCAGGGGATGGAGGGAGGTAGCACCAGTTGGGGTTTCTCTCCCCACTTCTCAGATTCCCAGAAAAAGGGAAAAACATAGAGGTCAACCACTTGGGAAACTCAAGCAATTATTGCTATTTAAATTCAACAACCCTTCACAGAAATAAAGGGAAAATCAGACAAGTGCTTTTAGGCTGTAAGGGAGGCAAGGAGGAGAAACAACAGCACAGATTTCAGGAGGAAGTACAAAAAAATCTAGGAATTCCCTCAGAGATCACACAGCATCTACTCTGCTCTTCTGCTCAGCCACAGGCAGCAGAATTACCCTCAAAACTATGAAGGAAAGCAGAAACCTGATCCTAATAGACACCAGGTACCTCCCAAAACTGCCCCAGCAGCAGCTCTCACCTCTCTGCAGAGATCAGCACTGGAGCCTGCCTAGATCCGCAGCGCTCTCCATCCATCTCAATTGCTTATAGACTGCTCCCTTTTAATTAGCTTTCATAATCAAATAAGTGTCTCGAATTAAACAGCACTGCATCATGAAATGCTGTATAAAATTAACCAGCCATGTGCAGAGGTCACCGCGTCTGCCGCTGAAACGCAGCCGGCACTGGGGGGGATACAGGTCTGGTTAGCGGCGCGCAGGAACGGTGCCAGGAAGAGGAGGTTTTAGCTGATGGAAAAAAAAAAAAAGAAGTAAAAAATTGGGGCCAATTAAAATTCCGTTTCGAGACCAGTGAGGTTGGATTTGTGCAAATATTTTGCCTATCTGCTTAAGAGCATCTTTATATCATTTAAGCTCAAGTCTGTAAGGAATAAGACTGAACGCTGTAAAGCACACTTACACCAAAGTAAGTACCCACACGAGGACTCTCTTGATTTAACACTCCACCAGATCCATCCAGAAATCGGGGGAGCTATTGTGTTTAAATAGGGCCTGGTGCAGGAGGGGAACATGAATCTATTTGAAACCACATTCGAAGTTCAGCCAAGTGACTTCTTCCCCCAGCACCAAGCACAAGCACCCCTTTGGGATGCGCCGTCCCACCCCATGAAGCCCAGACCCCCCGGTTCCTCCTCCCAGGCAGCATCATTGGGAGCCACTGGGCAAATCTCTCTCTTCTGCACATCTTTGGCCGTGCTCTGGGGCCGGCTGCATGTCAAGGGAAGCATTTTGAAGGCAGAAATGTTTGAGAACGAGAGAGACATACAGAGCAACACCTTGAAGAAATATTTCCACATGAAAAGAAAATAGTGTGTCCAGCTCCTGAAGCAGAGCAGCAAGACCAGCCCAGCTCTCTGCGTCCTGCCTGGTAGGAGGCATCAACCCAGGTAGAACGCCTCGCTACCACAGGTCTCCTATTTCCCACATCCCATCCAGCTCCAGTGTCCCCGCCATGCCCCACAGAACTCCCCAGACCATGAGGACAGACAAGCCTGGAAGATCTGCTGGGTGACAGCACAGTCAGTCTCCAGCCACCACCTCTCTGGAGGACTCGGAGCATCCCTCCTCTCAGGCGCTGCAAGGGGAGGGAGGGGGATGCTGTAATTAAGGTAGAACCAGCCTTGCCAGTCATTATCAGGCTGAGTTAGGAGTAGAAAGCCGCTTGTAAAAACAGCAGAGCTATATCTCAGAGCTGGAAACAGCACCAGAGACATCAACTCAGGTTTTCTGGGAGCCCTCTGAACCAGGCGGCATTTCACATCCCATCCGACAGTGATGGATGCAGTGGGAATGGAGCAGGTTTTTTTCCTCCCGAGAAGCTCTTTTGACAAGTATGATCTTATCAAAGTTTCAAGCTTTTCATTATGTTTCTTTTTTCTTTTTTTTTTTTAACTCCTGCCTTCAAGCTGTGCTCTGTCCTCTCCATGCCAGCAGGGAACAGTCACGTTCCCTGATCAATGGCTGAAGCTCCCTGCCGTGCTCAGAGCAGCACTGAGACCTCCCCTCCCCGGGGCATGCAGCCTGGGCGACCCACCAGAGCGAGAGCAGAGCCACGATTAATACCCAAATACATCTAGAAATGTGCAAAACACAGGGGTAACATCACTCATCCTCAGAGAAAGGAATGCACGGGCAGCTTTGGGCCGGGAAGAACACAAATAAGAGGAAGGGGAGACATAGAATCATGGAATGGTTTGTGTTGGAAGGGACCTTAACCACCCCCTGCCCTGGGCAGGGACACCTCCCACCAGCCCAGGTTGCTCCAAGCCCCCTCCAACCTGCCCTTGAACCCCTCCAGGGATGGGGCAGCCACAGCTTCTCTGGGCAACCTGGGCCAGGCTCTCACCACCCTCACACCAAACAAGTTCTTCCCCACAGCTCAGCTCCATCTCCCCTCTTTCAGTGTCAAACCATTACTCCTTGTCCTAGGGCTCCCCTCCCTGATCCAGAGTCCCTCCCCAGATTTCCTGGAACCCTTTTAGGGACTGGAAGGGGCTCTAAGGTCTCTCTGGAGCCTTCTCTTCTCCAGGCTCCTCTAGGACCCTTGTTGCCTCTGCAAGGCCAGGATGCCTTCACCAGCTCCAGCACTTTTGCCAGGGACATAAAACAACAACTTGCCCAAAACCTGGATCAGCTCAGTGCCCTGGGGCAGGCAGCAGATGTTCCTCCTTCTCCTACTTCCCATCTACTCTCCAGAAGAAAGACAAGCTTGAACCATCCTCTTCCTTTCCCAGCAGCAAACAAGTACCATCAACCCCTTTCCAAGACACCAGCAGCAAACACACCAAACCTCCCCAGAACCAGCAAAAAAAATCTTTGAAGAGCCCCTTACCTTGCACACCTGGCTGTACTATCCCAAGGGACAGGCTGGAAACAGCAAGAACCCTCCCTGCAGGAGGGAAGAGCTGCTTTTATTAGCTCCCTAATTAACCCAGGTTGGTCCTGATGAGAAGGGTGGAGCTGGCCCTGCCTCTGGAAGGGGGAAAAATAAAGCCCTGGAAAATACCTTCCTCTCTGCTCCATCCCTCCAGCCTCAGCCCACACCTTGGGGAAAAGCAAAGGAGGAGGAATCAGCCCTTTCTGCCCCAGATCCTGCCCCAGCCCCTGAGCCCTGGGGCAATACAGGCTACAGCATGTGCCCAGGGGATGCTGATCTCCTCCCCTTGTCCCGTCCCCTCGCGAGGACCCTGTTTGCAGCAGGATGGCCTGGAGAGGGAGGACACCAAGCCCCGTGGTGGCCTGGAGGGCTTGGCCACCTACAACTTGCCCCATCAGCCAAAACCAAGTCACCTCCTGGAGCCTGGAACGAACAGTCACCAAGAGACAGCAAACGCTGAGTGCAAAACCATGGTCTTTTATTAGAAATCTCCTCGTATAAAAATGATCATGCTCTACACAGTCATTGAATAATTCATAAACATCCAGGCACTGAACTTCGTTTTTTTTTGTGTGTGTGTTTTTGTTTTTTGACTGGTCAGTACATAAAGCAGACATATTTCAATCCATATGGTCATCACATACATTAATTAACCACCTATAGAAATCAGCACTTTGAACACAGTCTAGGTTTTATTTTATTTTATTTTGTCGTCTGTTTTTTTTTATTTAGATTTTATGTATTTTTATTTATTTTTCCTTTTTGCAACATATAGAATTTGGTAGGATACGGGAGAGAGAGTGAAGAGGGACGGAGGAAGACAGGAACAAAAGAAAATGGAGGGGTTAAAAAAAAAAAAGAAGAAAAGAGAAAACAGAAGGTTCTGCACAATCACAAACAATCTCACAAATTCCAGAAAAGGGAAAATGTTGGGTCTCTTTTTTTTTTAATTTGCCAAGATACAGGAAAAAAACCCCAAAGACTTGCCGAAGTCCGTCACCTCTTCCCCGCACTACGTCCCCCCTGCTCAACTGTTCCTCTTCCTCCGTGGGGAGGCATGCATTGTCACGGTGGTTGCTTGGTCGGTGGTTTATTTTTATTCTTTCTATTTTTTTTATTTTTTTTTTTTTGCTGCTGTTGATCACCATCTCCCCCGGGAGCTCTGCCCAGCGGCCGGCCAGGAGCGTGTCCCCCCGCTGCCACCTTCCCGTCCCGTCCGGGTCCCCTCCAGCGTCCTGCGACCAGCGATGCGACTCGGCTCCCTCCCGCGCCGTGGCATCCGCAGCTCCCGCTGTGCCAGGCAGTTGCGATGGCTGGAGCTAAATCGCGTGGTTGCTGTAGCTGACGTAGGTCTGTTTGGTAGCCAGTGCTGGAGAGAGAGACAAACCCCACATGTGTCATTAACGAAGTCCACCCTCCCCTTCTGGCTCCCATCCCGTCCCCCTGCCCCGAGCCTCGTGCCAGGAGATGCTGGTGGGGACGTGACGTGGGGTTTGCTCATGGATTCAAGCAGTGCCAGCACTCTGAATCGTTCCCTGGGAGGGCACTGAGCCGTGGCAGAGGGGCTGAGGCCCACAGAAGCCCAGGGGACTCCATAAAGACAGTTCAGAGAGACCCCGGGATGTGACATGAGCCACAGGGAATGTCCTTTCAGGCTCCCATTCAATTCACTCTTACAGAAAACCCACAGGTGCTCCACGTTCCCAAAAGCTCAGCCTGCCCCAGCCCCACAGGAGCATGATTTGGGGTTTGGACCCCAAATGGACACCCTGCACCCCTGGACACCACTCCATGGCTGCTGGGAGCGGTGCCGCAGGGCACGGGCAGCACAAAGCCATCCAGCTGTGTCCCTCACCAAAGATCCCTGTGCCCACGCTCGGGTGCTGGAGGAGAACACGGAGACACAAACCTGGTGCCACCTTCCATCTTCCCCAGACACACCAGCCCCGGGGACGGGGTTGAAGACAGGAGGGGAGGAGGCAGCCGTGGCTACCAAGCCACCGCGCGTCCCAGACTGACACCGGGGGAGTTGCAGCAAGGCCCAGAGCCAGGAAAACGCCAGGTATCAATAAATCCCCCCGCTCCCTGCGGGGCTGCACCGCTGCCTTCGGGCTCGCAGGCTGCAGCACGTCGCTTGCTTTTAGCAGCAGCCACAGCTTGGGCAGAGGTGGAAGCAGCAGTTTGCAACAGCCTGGCTGGTCTCAGCACTTCGGGCGGGCAGGATGCTCTGCGGAGATGTCACCACGAGGTCCCCAGGTACCACGGGGCTCAGGAGACGCACAGACACCCTCCAGCCAAGGGCAGGGAGCAGACAAGCAGACAGGCACTGGGACAGACAGCAAAGCCCAAGACACCACGAGCAGCACAAATGTGTCCTCTGAGGAGACCATCCCCACGGCACCGCGCGGAGGGGACGCCCGGCAGCTCTCCCTCCGTCTGGGTGTCTCGCTGACAAATGAACCTTGCTGCAGATTTCAGACTGGTATTCCCAGATAACAATTAGATAGGCCATAAGAAATTAGAGCTGACAGAGCTATTTGTTAGCCGCAATGTTTTCCTAGCCAATCTGCCTGTATCAAAGCCCTGTGAATTATTTATTCTGTTGTTTATTTAAGGCTACGTGACCCGCCAGTGACAGTGTGAAAAACAGTCCCTCGGTCCTCCGCTGACAACCCCGTGGTGCCTCCTGCCCCCAGCACCAACGCCGTGCCCGTCTCCCCGCCTGGCACACCTCGGACTGCGCTGCCAGCCCCCTGCGCACCCAGCTCCCTATTCCCCATGCCAGACACAGCGGAGCCGGGGATGCGGCAGACGGGAGGCTCGGCTCTCCCTGCTCCCGGCACGTAGCATCCTCAGAGGCTCCTGCTGTGAATCCCACAGGGGAGAAGGATGCTCAGTGCAGCAGAGAGCATCTGGGAATGTTTGGGTTGGCAAGATCCTGGGCAGCCCCTTACCATGGGGAACCCCCAGCCTTGCATGGAGCATCCCCCACAGACAAAAAGGGGGTGACATCCCTACCCACTGCCACGTTGGGATGGGAGCACAGACCACACAGATCTGTGATAGTGGCTGACAAGAGCCACCTCCATCACGGTGGTGAGGGGGGCTCTGACCGTGCAGCTGCCCTTCACAACGCAGAGAGGTAGATGAAAAGAGCTGATTATGCAGAGAGGCTGCCTACAGAGAGACATCGCACACAGAGCCACGGCCAGCCAGAGCCACTGCACACAGCGAGGAGGGTACGGAGGGTTTACAGAGATGCCGAGGGATATTAAACAGCTCAGGCTGGAAAGAGAGCGAGTGCGGGATTACAAAGACAATCATGGCTTTCCGTGGAAATGCTGTTTGGTCTCCATCCCACTGATGCTGGAACCCAGAAACTCTGCTGGTACACGAGGAACATTTGTATTTCCCTGAGGTTTTCTTCAGATTTAGCCCAAATGGGCTTTCCCTTCTCAAAGGTTCCCAGCACCTTTGGCTCCAACCATTTCTTCCTCCTCCAAGGCTCTGTTTTTGGAAACCCAAATGCAGAACAGGCACGCACCCACCTTCCCAGTGTTTTCCCAAGCACCCAGCCTCTCTTCCCAGGGCAGATGGATGGCTCTGTCCCTGTGTCAGCCTCAGCTCCAGCCCGGCCCCTGGAGCAGCCCCCAGGCACCAAACACCCTTCCCCGTCAGCCACAGCAGAGCCCTCCCAGTAGCAGCTCCGTGCACCCAGGCTGGATCTTTCTGCAAGTGTTTGAGCAGATTTCCATGTTCCCCATCCAACATCTCAGGCAGTGGCAGCTCAAGCACGTCTCCAGCGTGTTTCCCATGCCAGCCCCTCAGCAGCATTTCCCTTGGGGTGATGTGGGAGCCCGCAGAGGGATGGGATCTCCAGGAGCAACCCCGATCAGAGAGGGACAAGACACGTCCTATCTCAGCCACGTGGCTGCGGTGATGGAAAACAGCTTTTCTCAGGTTAAATGAATGAAGGGGGAATCTCCCCTGCCCATGGGCAGGAGATGATGCTGTCCCCTCTCTGGGAGCCAGGAATCCCTGCTCGAGATGTGGCTGGAGCACAGATACCCGGAGCAACCTCCCTCCTCGGGGTGTCATGGGCATGGCAGGGAGCGGAGTGGCCCCCAGCCTGTGGGATACAGCCCTTCCCACCCTGGAAGGATCCACCATCCACTGCTGGGGGATACCATGGAGCAGGAGGGAGCTGCCATATCCCTTTGCCAAGGAGCAGCACTGTCAGCATTGCTTGTGCCCACAGAGGACAGCATGGCCACTGCACACCGGTGAGCTAAGGCTTTGGGCTTCCAGTCATCACATCAGTCCTCAGCAAGACCAGCTCCCCAACCCTGCCAGGAGCCACATTACCTTGTGTTTCCAGATTTTCGCAGAGCTCTGATTTGGCCTCTCCATTGGGGCGGAAACCTCCCTTCTGAGAGAACTTGTTGGTCATGGTGGCCGCTGTCACCACCGCCTTGAGGCTCCGCTTGCGCTTGGGGACGTTCTGCTCCGGGTGGAAGAGGATAATGTACACCTTGGGCATGTAGAGCATGCCCAGGGACACCGAGGCACTCAGACTCACTGAGATGGTGAGCGTCGTGGTCTGGATGTACATCTGCAAGACACAAGGGCATGAGCTGAGCCCCACCACGGCTCTGTAGGATCCAGAAAGGGTCATCTGGGAAAGGAGGAGAGGAAAGAGGGGAAGGTGGAAACATTGGCATTAAATAAATGAAGGGGCGGGGAGCCAGGGCTGAAAATGTTGGCAGTATTGGATCTTAAACATCAAATTCAACTTGTTGCATGAGCCAAGGTGGGCCTGGAGAAGCCTCTGGCTCATTTTTGCTGTTTCCCCACCTGCAAACACGGGCAGGCTGTGCCGGTGCCCTGACCTGTGTTTTGGGGCCCTGGCACAGCCTCCCTGTGTGCCGAGCCCTCCCAGCACCCATCCATGCTCCGGCAGCACCTGCCAGCACCCTGAATCAACAGCACCACCAGAAAGAGAGCCCCCCCTCCCTCTCTCCTCCCCACCACCCACAGCACACTCCGCCAGCCACAGGGCAGGAGCTCTGATGCCACAATGATGGGCACCCACACGCAGGACCCAGCCTGGGCACCCCCAGTTCCCCCGTCTCACCTCAACAGGTAATTCCCATTCCCCAGCTGGCTCCCCGGGCCGTTGTCATGTAAGTCACATATTACACACCGACGCTGCCTTTCTGCAGTCAAAACTAATTTCACGCTCACTGTCCAGGACTAACAGTGACAGATGTTTTGCAAAATGAAAGCCCATTAATCTGACTGTAGAATAATCCATTTTTCTATGGAGAGCGTTTGGCAGGCTCCTCGCAAGCCGGGGGCATCTGAAGCAGGTGGCAACGGGAGGCAAAGAGACCCCCTCCTCCCTCCGCCTGTCCCCACCTCTTGTCCCTGAGCAACACTGGGCAAGACCTTCTGTGAGCATCCCTGCTCCATCAGCATCGCTTCTCCCAGCACAGGGCTCTGTCCTCTCCAGAATCCTCCCCTCTGCCGTGGATGTCACTTCTTGGGCCCCTCCAGGCTGAGCAGGGAGAGGGCTCTAGGTTCTTGGATGCTTTTGCAAGCACAAGTTTTTTTTTTTTTTTGCTGCTGTTGATCACCATCTCCCCCGGGAGCTCTGCCCAGCGGCCGGCCAGGAGCGTGTCCCCCCGCTGCCACCTTCCCGTCCCGTCCGGGTCCCCTCCAGCGTCCTGCGACCAGCGATGCGACTCGGCTCCCTCCCGCGCCGTGGCATCCGCAGCTCCCGCTGTGCCAGGCAGTTGCGATGGCTGGAGCTAAATCGCGTGGTTGCTGTAGCTGACGTAGGTCTGTTTGGTAGCCAGTGCTGGAGAGAGAGACAAACCCCACATGTGTCATTAACGAAGTCCACCCTCCCCTTCTGGCTCCCATCCCGTCCCCCTGCCCCGAGCCTCGTGCCAGGAGATGCTGGTGGGGACGTGACGTGGGGTTTGCTCATGGATTCAAGCAGTGCCAGCACTCTGAATCGTTCCCTGGGAGGGCACTGAGCCGTGGCAGAGGGGCTGAGGCCCACAGAAGCCCAGGGGACTCCATAAAGACAGTTCAGAGAGACCCCGGGATGTGACATGAGCCACAGGGAATGTCCTTTCAGGCTCCCATTCAATTCCCTCGGCAACCTCTTACAGAAAACCCACAGGTGCTCCACGTTCCCAAAAGCTCAGCCTGCCCCAGCCCCACAGGAGCATGATTTGGGGTTTGGACCCCAAATGGACACCCTGCACCCCTGGACACCACTCCATGGCTGCTGGGAGCAGTGCAGCAGGGCACGGGCAGCACAAAGCCATCCAGCTGTGTCCCTCACCAAAGATCCCTGTGCCCACGCTCGGGTGCTGGAGGAGAACACGGAGACACAAACCTGGTGCCACCTTCCATCTTCCCCAGACACTCCAGCCCCGGGGACGGGGTTGAAGACAGGAGGGGAGGAGGCAGCCGTGGCTACCAAGCCACCAGACTGACACCGGGGAGTTGCAGCAAGGCCCAGAGCCAGGAAAACGCCAGGCAGCAATAAATCCCCCCGCTCCCCGCGGGGCTGCACCGCTGCCTTCGGGCTCGCAGGCTGCAGCACGTTGCTTGCTTTTAGCAGCAGCCACAGCTTGGGCAGAGGGCGCGTCCCAGACTGACACCGGGGGAGTTGCAGCAAGGCCCAGAGCCAGGAAAACGCCAGGCAGCAATAAATCCCCCCGCTCCCCGCGGGGCTGCACCGCTGCCTTCGGGCTCGCAGGCTGCAGCACGTTGCTTGCTTTTAGCAGCAGCCACAGCTTGGGCAGAGGTGGAAGCAGCAGTTTGCAACAGCCTGGCTGGTCTCAGCACTTCGGGCGGGCACGATGCTCTGTGGAGATGCCACCACGAGGTCCCCAGGTACCACGGGGCTCAGGAGACGCACAGACACCCTCCAGCCAAGGGCAGGGAGCAGACAAGCAGACAGGCACTGGGACAGACAGCAAAGCCCAAGACACCAGGAGCAGCATAAATGTGTCCTCTGCGGAGACCATCCCCACGGCACCGCGCGGAGGGGACGCCCGGCAGCTCTCCCTCCGTCTGGGTGTCTCGCTGACAAATGAACCTTGCTGCAGATTTCAGACTGGTATTCCCAGATAACAATTAGATAGGCCATAAGAAATTAGAGCTGACAGAGCTATTTGTTAGCCGCAATGTTTTCCTAGCCAATCTGCCTGTATCAAAGCCCTGTGAATTATTTATTCTGTTGTTTATTTAAGGCTACGTGACCCGCCAGTGACAGTGTGAAAAACAGTCCCTCGGTCCTCCGCTGACAACCCCGTGGTGCCTCCTGCCCCCAGCACCAACGCCGTGCCCGTCTCCCCGCCTGGCACACCTCGGACTGCGCTGCCAGCCCCCTGCGCACCCAGCTCCCTATTCCCCATGCCAGACACAGCGGAGCCGGGGATGCGGCAGACGGGAGGCTCGGCTCTCCCTGCTCCCGGCACGTAGCATCCTCAGAGGCTCCTGCTGCGAGTCCCGGGGGGGAGAAGGATGCTCAGTGCAGCAGAGAGCATCTGGGAATGTTTGGGTTGGCAAGATCCTGGGCAGCCCCTTACCATGGGGAACCCCCAGCCTTGCATGGAGCATCCCCCACAGACAAAAAGGGGGTGACATCCCTACCCACTGCCACGTTGGGATGGGAGCACAGACCACACAGATCTGTGATAGTGGCTGACAAGAGCCACCTCCATCACGGTGGTGAGGGGGGCTCTGACCGTGCAGCTGCCCTTCACAACGCAGAGAGGTAGATGAAAAGAGCTGATTATGCAGAGAGGCTGCCTACAGAGAGACATCGCACACAGAGCCACGGCCAGCCAGAGCCACTGCACACAGCGAGGAGGGTACGGAGGGTTTACAGAGATGCCGAGGGATATTAAACAGCTCAGGCTGGAAAGAGAGCGAGTGCGGGATTACAAAGACAATCATGGCTTTCCGTGGAAATGCTGTTTGGTCTCCATCCCACTGATGCTGGAACCCAGAAACTCTGCTGGTACACGAGGAACATTTGTATTTCCCTGAGGTTTTCTTCAGATTTAGCCCAAATGGGCTTTCCCTTCTCAAAGGTTCCCAGCACCTTTGGCTCCAACCATTTCTTCCTCCTCCAAGGCTCTGTTTTTGGAAACCCAAATGCAGAACAGGCACGCACCCACCTTCCCAGTGTTTTCCCAAGCACCCAGCCTCTCTTCCCAGGGCAGATGGATGGCTCTGTCCCTGTGTCAGCCTCAGCTCCAGCCCGGCCCCTGGAGCAGCCCCCAGGCACCAAACACCCTTCCCCGTCAGCCACAGCAGAGCCCTCCCAGTAGCAGCTCCGTGCACCCAGGCTGGATCTTTCTGCAAGTGTTTGAGCAGATTTCCATGTTCCCCATCCAACATCTCAGGCAGTGGCAGCTCAAGCACGTCTCCAGCGTGTTTCCCATGCCAGCCCCTCAGCAGCATTTCCCTTGGGGTGATGTGGGAGCCCGCAGAGGGATGGGATCTCCAGGAGCAACCCCGATCAGAGAGGGACAAGACACGTCCTATCTCAGCCACGTGGCTGCGGTGATGGAAAACAGCTTTTCTCAGGTTAAATGAATGAAGGGGGAATCTCCCCTGCCCATGGGCAGGAGATGATGCTGTCCCCTCTCTGGGAGCCAGGAATCCCTGCTCGAGATGTGGCTGGAGCACAGATACCCGGAGCAACCTCCCTCCGCGGGGCTGCACCGCTGCCTTCGGGCTCGCAGGCTGCAGCACGTTGCTTGCTTTTAGCAGCAGCCACAGCTTGGGCAGAGGTGGAAGCAGCAGTTTGCAACAGCCTGGCTGGTCTCAGCACTTCGGGCGGGCACGATGCTCTGTGGAGATGCCACCACGAGGTCCCCAGGTACCACGGGGCTCAGGAGACGCACAGACACCCTCCAGCCAAGGGCAGGGAGCAGACAAGCAGACAGGCACTGGGACAGACAGCAAAGCCCAAGACACCAGGAGCAGCATAAATGTGTCCTCTGCGGAGACCATCCCCACGGCACCGCGCGGAGGGGACGCCCGGCAGCTCTCCCTCCGTCTGGGTGTCTCGCTGACAAATGAACCTTGCTGCAGATTTCAGACTGGTATTCCCAGATAACAATTAGATAGGCCATAAGAAATTAGAGCTGACAGAGCTATTTGTTAGCCGCAATGTTTTCCTAGCCAATCTGCCTGTATCAAAGCCCTGTGAATTATTTATTCTGTTGTTTATTTAAGGCTACGTGACCCGCCAGTGACAGTGTGAAAAACAGTCCCTCGGTCCTCCGCTGACAACCCCGTGGTGCCTCCTGCCCCCAGCACCAACGCCGTGCCCGTCTCCCCGCCTGGCACACCTCGGACTGCGCTGCCAGCCCCCTGCGCACCCAGCTCCCTATTCCCCATGCCAGACACAGCAGAGCCGGGGATGCGGCAGACGGGAGGCTCGGCTCTCCCTGCTCCCGGCACGTAGCATCCTCAGAGGCTCCTGCTGTGAATCCCACAGGGGAGAAGGATGCTCAGTGCAGCAGAGAGCATCTGGGAATGTTTGGGTTGGCAAGATCCTGGGCAGCCCCTTACCATGGGGAACCCCCAGCCTTGCATGGAGCATCCCCCACAGACAAAAAGGGGGTGACATCCCTACCCACTGCCACGTTGGGATGGGAGCACAGACCACACAGATCTGTGATAGTGGCTGACAAGAGCCACCTCCATCACGGTGGTGAGGGGGGCTCTGACCGTGCAGCTGCCCTTCACAACGCAGAGAGGTAGATGAAAAGAGCTGATTATGCAGAGAGGCTGCCTACAGAGAGACATCGCACACAGAGCCACGGCCAGCCAGAGCCACTGCACACAGCGAGGAGGGTACGGAGGGTTTACAGAGATGCCGAGGGATATTAAACAGCTCAGGCTGGAAAGAGAGCGAGTGCGGGATTACAAAG